TTTACCCAAGATGGAGGTTACTATACTTCAGTATTAGGTATGTTCCCCTAGGTTTCACTTTCCATCTCTGGTTAGGACATGTATGGGAGGCAACTCATCCATGTTTCTCTCTCTCTCTCTCTCTCTCTCTCTCTCTCTAAATCAAGGAAAAGTATATCCACAGGTGAGGATTTAAAAATTTATTTAAAAGAATGACAGTTTTTTGGGACTAGGTAGCTAGGTGATTAATGGTTCCTTTTTTAGAATTAGGAAAGATTAGGAAAGGAATAAGTGTGTGTGTGTGTGTGTGTGTGTGTGTGTGTGTGTGTGTGTGGTGAAAGCAGCAATCAGTTGAGACATATTGGGTTTTTGGTGCCTAGTGGCCCCAAAAGGACAGGTCAAGTAGGCAGTTATGCTTGAGCCTAACATTCAAAGGATAGTCCTATAGAATTGTAGAGAACAGATTGAACGTCATCGGTATGTAGCTGAAGAGAAGAACAGTCAACAAGACAAGAGGAACTTGGGAGAGTCTGGTATCAAAGGAGTCAAGATAAAAAAAAAAGACATTTAAAGAAGGGAGTTGTCAGCAGTCAAATGTTGCTGAGAGATAGAGTAAGAGGAAGGCAGAGAATGAACCATGGACCAGTAGATTTGGCAAGTTGGAGGATACTGGCGCCCTTGAACAATTTCAATAGAGGAGGGAAACAGAAGTGTTAAGTGAAGTAGGTTGAGAAAGTAAAGGTAAACGAGAGCTTAGACGAGTCATTTAGTAAGTTGCCATGGAAAGGAGAGAAGAAAATTAAAGAGCTGCTCTGGCTACTCCCTCACTCTCCTGCCACCCTCCCCCTGAAATTATAGAATAGAGCCAGGGTACAACACTCCATGGGAGCTTGGAAGCTTGCTGTGGTGCTTCCCTTTTAACTTCTGGTCACTCTCTCCTTGTCTATAACATCTCTGCACATGGACATCTGAGATTAGTAGGAAGCCCCCAACAAACCCCATGACATTGGCCTTACCGGGCAACTTGGCCACTGTTCTTTATTCTTGCCCTTCTGTCAGGCCCCTGCTGACTCCAGTTCCAATCAGGCCACAATGCCCAACTTTGCCAAGTCCTTCTCTACTTCCTCTTATGTGTCTTCTTTCCTCTTGGCCTCTGGATGCATTCTCTCCTTCCTCTCAGGACTCACCCTTACATCTGTCACTTGCCTCTTCTCTTCCTGGCCTTTTACCACCAGCACTACAGGTGCCTTTGATACTCCACAGGGTCCAACTACTGGCGTTTGGACAGCAGCAAGGATGGGTGGCATAGCTGGCCCATTGTCCATCAGTGGCCCAAGGGTCCTTCAACAGTGGATGCTGCCTTTTCCTGGGATGATAAACTCTATCTGATCCAGGTATGTGTTAGGAGGGAGAGAGGCTTGAGGAAAAGACTGGGAGAATATCCAGCTCTATGCTGATTAACATCTCTTATCCTCCAGGGCACTCAGATATATATCTTCCTGACAAAGGGAGGCTATACCCTAGTAGATGGATATCCAAAACGGCTGGAGAAGGAATTAGGGAGCCCTTCTGAGACCAGCCTTTCGGCTGTGGATGCAGCCTTTATCTGTCCTGGGTCTTCTCGACTCCACATCATGGCAGGTGAGGATGCATCTGGGTGCTAAGGGGTGGCTTGTTCTACTACTTCTCCATAGCATGGATCACCATCAGGGCCTGAGAAGGGTTAGGTTAGGATTTCCATGATGTGGAAGCCATGTTATATCTGGTGCCTTCTTCACAGGACGACAGCTGTGGTGGCTGGACATGAAGTTAGGAGCTCAAGCGACATGGACAGAGCTTTCTTGGCCCCATGAGAAGGTTGATGGGGCCCTGTGCATGGAAAAGTCCCTTGGCCCCAACTCATGTTCTGCCAATGGCTCCGGCTTGTACCTCATCCATGGCCCCAATTTGTACTGCTACAGCAATGTGGAGGAACTGAGTGCAGCCAAAGCCCTTCCCCAACCCCTGAGAATGAACAGCCTCCTGGGCTGCAGTCACTGACAGGGCTTCTGATGTGAATCTGTCCCAGACCCTTTTCCCCATTTTCTTTACAATAAAACCAGAGGACTTCTTGGCTTGAATCAAGGGGCCCTGGTTATGGAACAATCTCATTTCCTTCTTTAAATTGAGAGGTGGTAACATTTCTTTTGAGGATTTCTAGCTTAAATGAGGCTGTGGGAGGCAAGGAAGGGGAGGGCTGAGGGAAAAACCTCATTTCTGCTCAGATGATCCTAACTAGCTTCTTCTGGACTATTACACATAGAAGGAAACAGAACCACAAGTAGGAAAAGGAACTGGTAAGAGGCAGAGCAGGGACTCTGACCCAGCCTACTAATAACTGACCACAGGAAAGGCATCAGGAAGATAGGGCCAGGGGCAGATATTCATGTGCCAAATGGATTGGCTCAAGGCTTCCATTTGAGCCCTCAAACTGTGGTTTCAGGTGGTTCAGGTAGCACTCCACCAGAAAACGAGGCTTTGGTTGCCATGAGTTAGGTATAACAAAAGGAAGTTGAGGTGGGGAAACAGGAAGAGGCCAGATGTGTGTCAGAGGCAAGCTGGGGAGAGGGGAGGTGGAACCATTCAGGGACCTGGCACCATGAACACATCTGTAGAACACTGAGTGGTCCTGCTGGCTACCCTTTACCCTCCATGAATGCGGGCCTAATTGGTGCAGTGTTGGTAAAGGGTACAGTTGTTGATTCTTTTCTGATCATAAATGGGCCAAGACTTTACTTTCCAAACTTACTGACAACCATTTGACTGGGGAGTGGGTCTGGACCACAGACAACTGGATCTCAGGTAAGACCCTTTTTCCTCCTCTACCTTTTCAAGCCAGCAGATGTTATTTCGTTTGTTTTAGGCTCAAAAAATAACCTCAGACTCTAGCAGGGGACCCTTTCTCTGACTTTTCGTATCCTAGCCTCAATGACCTCATCCATAAAATGGGTATAATACTACTTATCTCCCAGTGGCAAAGAATATGGACTCAAACCCATCCCTTGGATTCTGTCAGGAAGGGGCCCTGGAAGTAGACCCAAACTCTGGTCCATGGCCTCATCTGGTTTGCAGTTAGCCCCTCCTGACCTGTAGCCCTTACTTGTGGGTAGAATGGTACCCCGACAAGGACCACTGACACACTGGGCTTTGCACTGGGAGGCCATGCCATAGAGTGGCTCCTGATAGGCACCAGGCTCCTCTGGTTCAGGAGAACTGCCTAAGGGTGTTTCACCAGCCTTGATGAGCGGGGAGGGGGGCAGCCGGGGATAAAACTAGGTCTCGGAGGTTCCACCCAGGACTTGAGGTTGGCTGAGGCTAGGAACAGAAGTTAGAGGCCAGGCACCAGGGTTGTGGAGTCTACTGCCAAGAAGTATCTTGAGCTTTCCCCTTCATCCCTGACAGTGCCTAGATGGTTCTCCTCCTTCAGTCTAAGAGGTGAGGATAAGGCCACAGTCTCAGCAACTCTGGCACACAAGGTTAACTTCCTCCTCATAAGGGGGAGCACCAGGTCTCTTCTTTCTTCTCTTCTCCCACCTGCTTTGTTACAAGGAAGCCTCTAGCTTGTCTCCAAGGAACCCCCACAAAAGGCTCAATTCATGCTTCTCTCATCCACTCCGTTAACACCTCCCACGTGCAGAGCACTGTGTCAGGTAATAGAGTAACAAGATGAATTGGACAATGCCTACCTTCCAGAATCTGCCACTCTGTCACACTCAGGAGGGGACTTCAGATAAATGCAATACGTGAGCGAGACATTAAGGTAGAATTCTATGTACACAAAGGAAAGCAGAGCCAGCAATACCTGGGATGGAGAGTGGGTTAGGAAAGGCCTCATATATGACATAACACCTGAGCTGAAATGTAAAAGATGAGTAGAATGTAATTCCTTTAGCAAATATAAATTCTACCATGCCAGGGAGCGGTACAAGTAGAGGAGGCAACACAAGCAAAGAAAAACCAGGGGAGAAGAGGTAGCCACAACTAGGGATAAATGAAGGGCTGGTGGGATCTGAGGCTGGAAAAGGAGGCAGGGGCTTCTCAGCTCATGGGTGTGTGTGTGTGTGTGTGTGTGTGTGTGTGTGTGTTCCATGTCAGGCTAGGAAGCATGGATTTTGTCTATCTTTGGGGCAATGGAGACCTAGTGAGGGATTTTAGACAAGGGTGATGAGATTCCTTTGACTCCTGCAGAGTGGATACTGGGTGAAAGCAGACAACAGTGGCTGTGAGGAGACCACTGAGGAGGTTGGTGCTGTAGTCCAGGTGGTAAATCATGAAGACCTGGACACTGGGTGGTGATGGAAATAAAGAGAAGTGAGCAGATTAAAAATATCGAGAAGACATAAGTCTGTAGGACTTGCTGATGGACTGGACAGGAGTTTGAAGGAGAGAGAGGAAGCTCACCTTTAAACTGCTCCATGGCCCCTTACCCCCTTCATCATTGTCTCTCTCTTTTTTTAGTTAATCCTCACTTAAGGATATATTAAATTTCACATGAGTCCAGGTGATTTTAGAGCACATTTATTTATTCATTTTGAATATATTTTTATTTATTTCAGAGAGGAAGGGAGAGGAGGTGAGAGAGTAATTGGTTGCCTCTTGCACATGCCCCAACTAGACCAGGGATCAAACCAGCAACCCAGGCACATGCCCTTGACCAGGAATAGAACCTGAGACCCTTTGGTCTGACTCCTGCCTGCCCTATACTAGGGATTAAGCCTGCAACCTGGGCATGTGCCCTGACCCAGAACTGAACTGTGACCTTCTGGTTCATAGGTCGATGCTCAACCACTGAGCCATGCCAGGCGGGGCCCCAGGATATTTTTTTCCATTGATTTTTAGAGAGTAGAAGGGAGGGAGGGAGGGAGGGAGAGAGAGAAACATCGATGTGAGAGACACAAATCATTGGTTGCCTCTTGCACATGCCCCAACTAGACCAGGGATCAAACCAGCAACCCAGGCACATGCCCTTGACCAGGAATAGAACTTGTGACCCTTCAGTGTGGGAGCCGACACTCTAACCACTGGCTAACACTGTGTTTCTTCTTCCCAAGCTTTCCATGGTGCCCTCTCAAATTCACTCCATGGTTAGTAAGTTTCTCTGCATTTTTTACTATACTTTTCTATCTCTTTATCTCCAGCTTTAATTAAGATCAGGGAAAGCCCCAGGGCCCTCTTCCTTTCCATACACAGTAGCTGTCCCAATGGATGGGAAGCAGTATCAGCATTGGCATAACTTGACACACGTTTGTACCATGTCTCTTCCTCTTTCTGTGCAGAGTTAATGGCTCCTCCCTTGGAGCCACACCATTCTTATGGCCAACATCTGCCAACCTTCTGACTCTGTCTCCTCAATTGCTGAAGTCCCCAATTACTTCAACCACCCAATTATTATGGCCCAATTCTGACCCCAATCATCATTCACAATTGCTCTACCCGTGAAAAAAATCCCAACATCTCACCTGTGATCATAACCACCTCTTATCCTTATTCTTCTGTCTCCCTCACAACTTCATTCTGACTCTCCTGCTCTTTGACTTTATAGAGATGTTTCTTTAATATATATATATAAAATTTCAGAGAGGAAGGGAGAGGGAGAGAGAAATAAAAACATCAATAATGAGAGAGAATCATTGGTTGGCTACCTCTTGCCTCCCCACACTGTGGATTGGGCCTATAAACTGTGCCCTGACAGGGAATCAAACCCTGACCTCCTGGTACATAAGTCAATACTCAAAAGACTGAGCCGCACTGGCCAGGCAATATAGAAACGTTTCATCCCTTTATTATCTCCCAGTCCTTCATTCCCGAAAAGCCATTGTTTTTCCTACTCAGTTTAAACATCAAAGTTGATCATCTGAACAACTTTCTTAATACTGTTAAATCTCTGTCCCTTTTAACTTCTGTTTAATCTATCCATAGAAAAGAACAACAAAAACCAACTTCAAATCAGAGAAAGAGAGAATTTTAAAAGTCAGAGATGTCTGAACTCCAATCCCAGCTAGGCCACTTCCTAAGTTTGTAGGTTTGAGAAAGCCTGAGTCTTGTGTGTGGTATATGTGTGTGTATATGCATGATTGTATGCAAAATAGGAATGTGTATTGAATCAACCACTGTTCAGGAAGAATACAGAAATCACTGTAGATGGTTTAAGTAGAGAAGGACTAAATGGGAATAATTTGTTACAAAGCTGTGGAGAAGGTCTGGAGAAACGTAAGAGGAAAAGCAGGGCTACCTACAGACCAGGAAACGACCCCTAATCTTGATTTAAAGGAGTAAAAGTGGGGAAATATCCAAAGATTAAGGAGCTGGAATCTACAAGTCTGCACTGGCTACTGATGTGGCTGGAACTTGTATTGCTGATGCTGCTGGGACCGCTTTCACTTTTGCCACATCAGAAGCTGATGTTGCCAGAGGCACTGCCAAAAAGCAGAACTTCTCCCTTCCTCATGTGAAGGTTCCCATTAGTGGGACCCAACTGTAACAAAGCAATAAAGGAATCAGAAAAATGTGGTTTTTAGATTTCTAGCCCTTTGTACAGGGGTGTATTCATCATACTCTTGGTTGCAAGTAATAAGTCTCAATTCAAGGTGTGCAAGCAAAAAGGAAATTTATTGACTTATGTGATTTCAGGCAGAAGCAATACAGGTGTTAAAGTGATGTTATCAGGCATCTGTCTCTCTCCCTTAATTATGTTTCCTTCTCAGGCAGGCTCGTTGTTCCTGGTGGCAAGGTGTCCACCAGGCTTATGTTCTACCAGCACCTCTATTTGCAGGAAAATTCCTGGATCTGATTTTCACCGGCTCAGATTTCATCATGTGCCCATCTCGGAATTGTTCACTTTGATTCAATCATGGGTTAGGAGCTCAACACTGAAGTGGACTGTGGGACTTGTGTGACACAGACTTAGACTGGGGAAGGGATGTGCCAAAAGAAAAATGAGGTGCTGTTACCAATAAAAAGGGAAATGGATACTGCACAGATAACAACAAAGGCAACATGTTCATGACAGGATATTCATCTTGCAGGTTTTTTGTTGCTCTGTATCCAACCCACCTTCCCTTCTTCAGCTAGACTGAAAATATTGATATCCCTGGGCATGAAATATCTCAACCTCTTGTTGACTCCCAGTTTATTACCCCATCTACACCTTTGTCCACACCCCTATCTTTTTAGTCTACAAAGTTAAGGTATCCAATTCTTCTCATGAGTCCTTGATCCCACCTCCTCTCCTTGCCTCTCGCATCTCACTCCATCTATTTTCTTTACTTTCAAATTCATCTTCTCTACTGGTACCCTTTTGTGGTATATATCCATGTTCAAATATATTTTTAAAAAAGACATGCCCAGCCAGAATGGATCAGTTGGTTGAGCGTTGTCCTGTGCACTGAAAGGTTGTCGGTTCGATTCTTGGTCAGGGCACATACCTGGGTTGCGGGTTCGACCCATGGTTGGGGCATGTATGGAAAGCAATCGATTGATGTTACTCTCTCACATCAATGTTTCTCTCTCTATCCCCCTTCCTTTCTCTATGCATGTCCTCAGGGAAGGATTAAAAAAACAAAACAAAAAACAAATAACCTAAATAAATAAATAAACCAGAATATTTAACTTCATACCACTTTTCAGCTATTGTCTATTCTTTCTTCTAAACTTCTCTGTTTAGAAGAAACAGAGGATTTAGGGGTTTCTGCACTTACTTATTCTCCCTCATTTTCATTTGCTCAACTCTTTGTATTGTGGTTCTGCCTCCATTTTCTGCTGATACAGATCACATCTTGGATGTCCATGACCTCCATGCCACAAAATTCAAAGGATACTTTTTTGTCTTAACCTTATTGGAAATCTTTGCTGCATTTGATGCTGTTGACCACTTTTGTCTCCTTGAAAAATCTTTCCTCCCTTGGATATCTTCCATGACATTACTCTCTCCTGATTCTCCTCTTACTCTGTTTCTTCTCAGCTTTCTTTTTGGCCTTCTTTTCTTCTGCTGGCTCCCCAAACACTGGCATTCCCAGAGGTTAGTCCTTTTCTCACCCTCTATGCTTTTCCTGGGAATGCATTAGAATAGACTTGAAGAAGGGTGTTGAGGAAGTCCTTGCCAGACCTAGAATCTGACTTATGAATTCCACTCCATATAATATGTAGGAAGATTTAACTCCTTATAAATTTTTCCAAATGATAACAACCACCTAGAACAGTGGTTCTCAACCTTCCTAATGCCGCGACCCTTTAATACTGTTCCTCATGTTGTGGTGACCCCCCAATTTCATTGTTACAAATTGAACATAATTAAAGCATAGTGATTAATCACAAAAACAATATGTAATTAGATATGTGTTTTCCGATGGTCTTAGGCGACCCCTGTGAAAGGGTTGTTTGCCCCCCCCTCAAAAGGGGTCGCGACCCACAGGTTGAGAACCGCTGACCTAGAATAAAGAAAGTTTATTAGATCAACTACAATAAAAAATACAATATTCAAGCGATGCTTATATGTAGTGGTAGAAAATGCTGCCTTTGCTCCATTAAGTGTCTTTGATGCTAATAGAGATGAAAGCTCTATTCTTCCATATGTAGGTAACATGGATGCCAACTTTCTGGTGATGCATAAAGCCAGCGCTCTTGGTGATTCTCTCGATGGAGTTGTTTCTTTGTTTCTTTTTCTTTTTTTTAAATTGATTTCAGAGAGGAAGGGAGAGGGAAAGATAGAAACAGCAATGATGAGAGAGAATCATCGATTGGCTGCATTCTGTACAACTCCTACTGGGGATCAAGTCCGCAACCCAGGCATGTGCCCTGACCGGGAATCGAACCCAGGACCTTTCAGTCCCCAGGCCGATGCTCTATCCACTTAGCCAAACTGGCTAGGGATGGAATTGTTTCTAATTCAAGTTTTTCTTGATAGGACCAAGGTAATAATTTTGCAGTAAATAAATTTGCTGCCTGGGACCCACATTGTAATGGGCACACACAATATCTGAGGTGGTTCATAGGCTGTCTGCTCCTAGGCCTTGGAGAGCATCAGAAGGGAGAAGAGATACAATAGTGAAAGGATGGATAAAGGGCACAGGTTGACTCCCCATTGAGCAGGAGGCTTTGCAGACCTAGATCAGGGATTCAGGAAGACTGTGTATGGGACAAACTGCACAGTGTGTGAACTGCACAATTTTCTTTGTGCACCTTAGCTAATTAGACGCCTCTCCCCACCCTTATCATCCTATCTGTGTGCCTCTGGTTACCTGAAGAGATTTCCCTGGATATTGCAGCCCTCCTGCCCAATGGACTGGGAAGACAAGTATTCTGGTGGGCTCTTCGTAAACTGATGATATTTCTGGATTTTTTAAATTGCTCAAGCAGAAGTCTGGAATTCATCCTTCCATAGCCAATCAATTGATTACTAATATCTGTGAATTCTACCTCCTGTTTAAACCTATGCAATTTTCTCCATTCCTACTCCCACAACTAGTCATCTCCCACCTAGACTACATGAACTATTTCCTAACTGGTCCCCACACTGAGAGCCAATTTTACTCTTCCCATCTATTCTCCACTTAGCAGCCAGAAGTGAGCTTCTGAAATGCAAGGATGAACATGCCACCCCTCTGCCTCAAACCCTTTGATGATTTTCCATTGCCCTTAAAATAAAGTCCAAACCCTTAGCAAACCTTTACAAGGCCCTCCTTGATTTGGCACATGCTACCTTTTCAGTTCATCTTATGCCATTCTTCTCCACTGTCACCCATACTGGCCTTCTTGTGCTTCTCCTTTGACTTGGAGTAATTTTCTCTTCTGGCTGACCTTCTCCTTTACCCTATTCCCCTCACATAAGTGCCAATTCCTTATGGAAAGCCTTCCCAAACCTCTCCATGCTAAATTTATAGTTCACTCATAGCATCCTGTACACCTCCTTCAGATACTCATCACAAATAGCTAAGATTTGGAAATAGCCCAAGTGCCTATCAGTTGATGAATGGATAAAAAAGCTATTGCACGTTGATACTATGGAATACTATGCAGCTGTAAAAAAGAGGGATCTCTTACCCTTTGGGACAGCATGGATGGACCTGGAAAATATTATGCTAAGTAGAAATAAGCCAATCTGAGAAAGACAAATATCACATGATCTCACTTATTTGTGGAATCTAATGAACAAAATGAATTCACCAACAAAATAAAACCAAAAGCAGAGGCATGGAATAGACTGACATACCTCAATGTGGCGTTGGGGGACTGGAAGAGATAAACCAAAGAACTTACTAGGTGCACCAGTTAATAATGCAGATGTTATAAAAAAAGAAAACAA